ATCAGTAACACCTTTTTTTAGCCGTATGTTAAAACTATTGCACGTGATCATTTTCCGTTCATTAACGGATGCTTTATACGGACATTGACATATGGATCTTAAAATGATAATGGAATAAAATGTTATACACATATTTTGGTAAAATAATTTATAATTTCAACGCTTATTTTTTAGTTAAGTCATTATTTTAAGAGAATTTCATAATCAAATGGATAATTTTATTTATGAGTTCAGTTATTAATTTATTCTAAATTTTATTTTTTAAAATAATATTAAATAGTTAGTGTTAAATCTTTTTTTTAAAAAGAAGAATTACTTTGACCAAATATGTAGAAAAGCTTAAATATTTTTTTAGGAAATTTGGAATCCGTAACAAGATTCGTTTAACCAATGCATGTAATTATAAAAAAATGTATTAAAATTTTCTTTATAAAATTTACATTTCACCCTTTTAAAATTCGAATTTTTTATTTTATAAATACCATAATATACAAGTTTTACCGAAATAATTCGAATGGGTTTCATGAATTCTAACTTTTCAGCTTGGTTTTCATTTCTTATTTAATGAATATTTAAGTGCAGTGACTTGGAAAGCATAAAAATATGATTGGGCGACAAACCAAATTTAACAAGTAGTACTCCAATTAGTGAGTCAGCTATACATATTGTGGGCAAAAATATTTTTAAAAAGTTTGTAATATTGTTGAAGATTGATTTAATAATAATTCATCTCATTTTTATTTTTTTAATTAATCACTGGTATCATATCTCTTTTGATCGACTAATCCAGATCGGATATTACAGAGGCAAGGGTGATCTTCTCAATCCAACTTGTTCCATTCGAAAACATCAAGGTTTGAACCCTTGATCGTGCTTAAAAATCTAGTTTCCCGTCCCACTAAACCAACGAGTTGTTGGTGTATGTTTTTTTTTATTAATACTACATTTTAAATTTGATCTTATTTTTTTACTTTTCATGCAAGAGAATTACATGATGTAAGTTTTTTTAAAACATATATATTTTTTGTTTATAAAAGAGTCATAAAATGTTAACTTTTAAATTTATTAGTAATTTATATTTATTTTAATTGTTTTATGAGTTAAAAAACTAAGTTGAATTAATTAATTCAATCTGTTAAATAAAAAATCAATGAATTTAACAGTTATATGAAAAAAAAACCGGAAATTGATTAAGCTGTTACAATTCTTTTCCTCTTAATTAAGTTAGGGAATCAATTTTGAAAAATTTATTAGTAATTTATATTTATTTTAATTGTTTTATGAGTTAAAAAACTAAGTTGAATTAATTAATTCAATCTGTTAAATAAAAAATCAATGAATTTAACAGTTATATGAAGAAAAAAAACCGGAAATTGATTAAGCTGTTACAATTCTTTTCCTCTTAATTAAGTTAGGGAATCAATTTTGAAATTAAAACCTGTGATATTGCAAACAAATATGGATTATTTTAGGCAGATGATAAGGGAAAAGCAATAATAAATAAATTATGAAGCAAATAATTTGACATATGCAACATTAAATTACCAAAAAAATAATTAGCCAGCAGACCGGGACACATTTTGGGATGAGATGAGCAATTTATAACTTTATTTATTATATACTATATTTAATTATACCCTTGAATTCCAAGTAAAATGACATTGTTTCTCACTTTCATTATGATGCTCTTGCTTTTTTGCACCACTTTTTTTTTTAAAAAAAAAGTAAAAACTTTTTAGAAAATTGCTTGTCTTATATTTTGTTTTATGCTAACTAATATGGGATAAAATAATTAGATTTCCATTTGGGGAACGGGTAGATTTTGATAATGGAAATTGCAATTCTATCTAATGTAATCATATTAATTATATTTTTTACTTATTAAAGAAAAATATAAATATTATAAAATATTATTTTATTTTTAACAAAAAATCGAATAAAATTATAATTTATTGTATAATGTCAATATAAAATGCACCTACTCTTATTATTGAGTGATTAAAATAAAAATGGCGCGGCACAAAGACAACTAACCTTTTCCTAATTGATAATGACATGGATATTCGAGTGCTGTGCCTTAGACGTCAATTCTTCTCTTTATTCAAAGGATGCAATCATCGCTGTTCAAAAATTTTCTCAAATTTTGTAATATATTTATATTATATTGATTGCAATTTGAAAACAATATTACCTTTTTTCTAGAAGCCCTATTTCTTTTTCTTATGAAATTGTTAAGCTTGGGATCAGAAATGCCGACACATTGGTATGCATTTATTTAGTTGCTAATTATAGTGATATAGTTGGTTCAAGTGTAGGTGAAATAATTGTTGCTCAATGTATCGTGTCGCATATTACTTCTATTTCCCTCTTTAAATCGAATGTATTGTCATTTATTCAACATATTTTTAATAAAAATTTAATATTATATTTTAACTTTTGGATATTTCTTAAATATAAAACCATAAAAATGTAAATTTTAAAACTCAGAAATAAAGTGAGTGTGTTTTATATGTTAGCTTATACGATGTATTAAGACTTTTGAATAGTTTTTTAATATGAAAGACTTAGAACGTATCTTAACTACATTCGAATGTAAATTCTTTAAGTCTCTACTAAACAGATAAAATTATTATATATTAGCGTTGATGATATGTATGTATATTAGTAAAATATATTTTGTACGAGTATTATACGAGACAAATGTGTACGAAATATGTAATGGTACTAATTAATATTTATATAAAATTTAAAGGATGCTAGCTTTTAATTTGATTATTTGAACATGTTTAATTTACTTTTTCGTCTATATGATGCATATATCATATATATATATATAATATGATGGATTGATACTGCTGACATATAATATTTAAGCTAAATGATATGTTTTAAACACCCTCAATATGTATATCAATATGATAAATTAAAATATGAATTATATATTAAAATGATATATATATATATATCACATGTTTATATGTTTCAGTGAATGATATATAATCATATCATAAATATAATTTATTTTAAAGTGATTTAAAATGTGAAAAAAATCAAATCTAGGTTAAGGCCGCTCATTATTTTTTCATAGAAATTTTCATTTGCGTCGCTCACTCTTTTTATTTTTACTTGGTCAATAACGATATTAATTTTAGTGTTGATTGTGGATCTATGATACTTCTTATTTTCATTTATTTTCCTATATTATTTCTTCGTTTCCATTTTGATTTATAGTTTTTAATAATTATATTTTTATGGTACGTTTTTTTGTCTTTTGACAAGTTCTCTTCTGTCTTTTCGTACGTTTTCGGTCGTTTGATCATTCTTTTCGTTTTTATTTTTATCTTAGGGTTGTATTTGATGACACCTCGAATCAAAATGACACTTATTTGTTATCTTAGTGATTTTTCCTGCTTTGGACCCTCGGATTGGATTGAGATATGCGATTGCGTTTGTGGATAATTTTCTCACATCGCTCGACTATGATTCGCAGTTTGTCGGTGATCTTTCAGTAGTTTTCATATCCTTTTATGATCTATTTATCGATGTAGTTAGATCTATTTGTATCTATCTTTGTTCGAGTATTTTTGTTAAGTTTTTAACTTTTTTCTTATATGATCATTGTATGATCTTAAGTGACTAGTTTTTGTGCTAGTAATTATAGGAAAATATCTTAATTATGTGTTTAGTTTATGATAATAACATTCATTATAATTCTAAATATTTTTCTTTTAATAAAATTAATTGTTTCTATTAAAAAAAGTAACTTAATATTTTTTATCTTACCTTAGAATATAAAATTACACTTTATATTCCTTTTGAATTATACTTTACAATAATTTAAATTATTATTATTATATTATAACCAAATATAAAATTGAATGGTTAGAATTTGATAATATTAAGTTTATTTTATATTCAACTTAAATTGGAATTTTATTATAATTTGAACTTTTCAGATTTATAGAAAAGCAATATCTTATCATTTTAAATTATTTCATATTTAAATAAAAATATTATTTTTATTATATTAAAATTAATATATAAAATTCGACAAATATTAGATTATTTATATTAATTTTGGTTACACTTTCATTGTAAATTAAACTGTTGACATTTATAGATAAGTATTACATTAATACCAAATATTTTTATTATATGAGATAAATATATAATTAATTAAATAAAAATAAATTAATCACGTCAATACAAATACTATGAATGTGATAAAAGAAACTTAGTACATATAAAAGATTCATTAATAAATGGTAAAAATCATATGTATGATTTGTGTGTCCCAAAATAATGATGAAACCCGAAAACATGTGGGTCAATTCAACCAAATGGAGGAACTCTTTTGTTATGGGCCTAACTGGACCTTCTTCCCATAAGAGACTTCTTCATCAAAATTATAAATGTCCAACCCTATATCTATTTTCTTTTTGATCAATTTCTACCGAGTGAGAGAGAGAGAGAGAAACAAGGAAAATTTTATTTTTTTTATTAAGTATTAAACTCGTAATGAGAGTAAATGTGTTAGCTGAGAGTTTTTAACCCTCTGCTTTAGATATTGTTAATTTTAAATCTATAATTTTCAATGCCCTATTAACGAAAAAGATAATTAAAATACAAAAATTAATACAATAGTTGATTATATTAGTTTAATTCATACGATTAATTTTATTATATGCTGTATCGATAATAATATTATTTAAATTATTTTTAGTTAAATAATATTACAGCATCTTAAGAGTTAAGAGTTATAAGTTCAGTGGTATTCACAACCAAAAAAAAAAGTTCAATGGTATTTTAATATCAAATACAAATATTTTATTTGAATATTTGAAATTAAATTGATACCAAATCTCCTAAAAAATTCTATGAATCATTGTGGAGAGATTGGTAAGAGACAGAGGTGTTTAACAGAATTTTCCAAGTAATGGGTAGCATCGAAACCCACAATTATTAATCCTCTGAAAAATCCAGTCCAGATAAGATCAGTTTCCACGCTTCCCAATTCTTCAATTCCTGCAATAAAAAAAAAGGCAAACACTTCTCTCACGTCAACCATCTTCCCCATCCCACATCTCGGCTTCGATCTTTCCAATTACTTAGTTTCTTTATAAATCGCAAGAGAAATCCCCTCTCCCTTTCAATTCCCAACCTTCTAAAATACCAAACCCAAGTAGAAAGATATGGAGGCTAACAATTCTCAAGTCAACCAACGTATTGCAACGATCGCAGCCCATCTCAACCCTTCCAATATTTCCCGGACGGAGGATCGTGTGGGTTTGGAGCGAGGCATCTGCCGAGCCAAAGGTGGATCAGCTGGGTTCAAGGTGGCTATTTTGGGAGCAGCCGGGGGAATAGGACAGCCTTTAGCAATGTTGATGAAGATGAACCCTTTGGTCTCTGTTCTTCATCTTTATGATGTGGTTAATACCCCTGGTGTCACTTCTGATATTAGCCACATGGACACTGGAGCTGTGGTGCGCTTTTTGTGTGTGTTAATTTTAATGTTTCCCTTACATAACAATGTCCTTCTTTTGTTGGCTTTTGAATTCCATAAAAAAAAAATTATGGTGTTGGAATACTGGAATTGCTACACTGAATTCGTTGTTTTGATTAGGAATAAGGGGATAAGTGCGCTCAATACGCGGTTAAGAACTTTAGATAGAGAATAATAAAAATCTAGGCTTGAAATCAATAGGAAATCGCCCTTCTGTACTTGATTTTGCTTTGCCATTTACTGTACAGAACTTATAATTTAACCAAATGCTTCTTTTCACATATATTAAGGATGAGACTCTTCGAGCTTCATCGGAGGTATTTGCTGAGAATTTTAGAAATTTTGTTGAATCTTTAGGTACGTGGGTTTCTGGGGCAACAGCAATTGGAGGAAGCTCTAACAGGAATGGACCTTGTAATTATTCCGGCTGGAGTTCCTAGGAAACCTGGAATGACAAGAGATGATCTTTTCAACATCAATGCTGGAATTGTTAAGACTCTTTGTGAAGGAATAGCAAAGTGTTGTCCCAAAGCGATTGTCAATTTGATTAGTAATCCTGTTAATTCCACAGTGCCGATTGCTGCCGAAGTTTTTAAAAAAGCTGGCACCTTTAATCCAAAGCGACTTCTGGGGGTCACAATGCTTGATGTTGTCAGAGCAAATACTTTTGTGGTAAATATGAATCTTGTCATATTGTTATGTTATTCTTCGATGTTAATTAGCCAACTCTAGATTGTTACTGCCATTACTTTCATGGAAACTACAATTTTTGCCCCTGTTGATTAGTTGATGCTAATTTTGTTAGACCCTGTTGGATGAGCTTCTTTCATCATCACTTCCGTATGGCAAAGGCATACTATTTGTGATGAAGCTAAAAGTTTGCAACCTAGCTGTTATTGATGTTCAGTGCTGGTATTCACTAATATCTATTACCCCATTATTTTGGTTTCTTTGTAGGCGGAAGTCTTGGGTCTGGATCCACGGGAAGTTGATGTTCCGGTTGTTGGGGGACATGCAGGGGTTACTATTTTACCTCTTTTATCTCAGGTTTAAAGAACTTGTTTTCAAACATTTACTTGCCCACTAATTTGTAATAACATGACATTCTATGTAACAATCACTATTCTCCTTACAGGTTAAACCTCCATGCTCTTTTACCCCAAAAGAAATTGATTATCTGACTGATCGTATTCAGAATGGAGGTACAGAGGTCGTTGAGGTAAAGCATTTTTTCCTAGACTGAAACCTCAAATAGCTTGAAAGGCCTTGGTGATTTAAAAGTAGTTAAATCCAAGTATAAAACAGACCTAGTTAGCATCCATAGGTCATTTTTGTTGGAGAGTGTGCATGTTCCATCTTGTTATCGAGTAACTTGATCTATATAGAAACGGTACTGGTTGCACCATGGGATTGAGAAAAAGACAGGTTATGGGGTAGAAGAGACTCTTCTATAATGAACTAGTAAAAAGATAATTCTGAGGATTAAGTGTTATTTGATATGATGCAGCTTCCTTTAAAATTTTAGGTTGTCCTACAAATGAACCTAGGCCTGCTGTCTAATCCATGGATGAGCTTTTAACAAAGAACAGAGGGTATTACATTTCTACTTTCCTTTTTGGATTCATAACTTACTATTTCATGATATTCTTTACTACATCAATGGGTCTTGATCAATGGTAAGGCAAAAAGTTGAGCGCACAACATTTGTACTTCATGTGCCACTTGTTCTGTCAGTTTTGCTGAAGTTATCCACTTAAGTTACTTTAGGTTATCATGTGTTATCATTCCCTGGGTTCTGGAAACTGATCTATTCTAGCGTTCTGTTCCCATTGTGATGTATACATGCTCAAAATCTAGTTAGTGACCCATTATGTGCAATATCTTGCAGGCAAAGGCTGGTTCTGGATCTGCAACACTATCAATGGTTAGTAATATGTGTGCCTATGTTTGTGTATTCCCTATCACTCTCTCTCAACCACTAAGCACATATACTTGTTTTGTATGTTAGACATGATTTTAGCTGGATCTTACTGTATATCACAAAACATAAATGAAAGTGCAGGCATATGCTGCTGTTAAATTTGCTGATGCATGTCTCAGAGGCTTAAGAGGAGATGCTGGAATTGTGGAATGTGCATATGTGGCATCTCATGTATGTTATACGGGTCATCCTTCACATGAACATCTCTCTCTGTTTCTTCCTCCCCCTCTGTTTTCCCAATTTTCTCTTTCTAGGTTCGTAACAACTAACACATTTCCATTTGTAGGTAACTGAATTACCCTTCTTTGCATCCAAGGTAAGAATTGGTCGTACTGGAGTTGAGGAAATATACCCTCTCGGCCCACTCAACGAGTATGAGAGGTATGTACCAGTAACCATTTTTGCTAGATATAATTTGAATGTAAATCAAAGATCTCATTGCCCCGCGATTTATTTATAAATCTCACCATGGAAGTCCTAATGATTGATCAACAGGGTTGGCTTGGAGAAGGCAAAGAAAGAACTTGCAGCTAGCATTCAAAAGGGGATTTCATTTGTTAACAAGTAAAAATGGGGGTAGCTGATAGCTTGGTTTCCCCTAAGAAACGCTATTTATATGAGTTTGTAGGAATAAGAAAGTAAAACCCCTTTGCTATGGTTTCCTAGATGTGAACCAACATGGAAAAAGTGGGGCATATGTTAAATTAAGAACAATAATTTCATCCATATTTTTTTATTGATATCAATCTATTATTTTGTGCCTCCGCATGATAGGCTATCCATCCGAGTCTATAAGTAGAAAAGTCACTAGAAACTCATCATTTATAGCTGTGAATTCTACAATATCTTGATACGACTAGGGATGGGTAATTGATTCAAACTTACGAGTATGATCTCATTCGATCTTATAGGATCAGATAACCTTTTTTTTTAAAAAACAAATCGGCTTTAAGTTGAGTCGAGTTTTTTTTTGGAGAATGAGATCGAGTCAAGTTTGGATTTAAGATGAAAAATATCTTACTCGATATAGAAATAATGATATAACTAATATTTATATATTAGATATAATTGTTACAATACTTTGTATATATATATTTTTGGATTAATATAAAAATAAGTGTCTAAAATTAACTTTAAATGTTTAAAGAATTTTTCGTTCCAAATAAATGTTTGGCCTTTTTTCTTACACTTTTAGGTGTAAATGCATTAATTCTACTATTAATTGACATGTTTTGCTCTTGCATTTTGTTGAATTTTTTTATTTTAAAAAAAATTAAAATTAAAACTATTATCATCTTTTTTTGAAAAATTAAATATTTTAAAAATATAAAAAAATACCTTAAGATTCTTTAATCCAAATCATCATTGTTGTGGGTTGCATACCTATCGATCGTCTGACTCAATTACTGGCCAATCCTTTGTTGTCACCCTTAAATCGATCGTCAGTCAAAGGTAATTAGAAATCGATCATATTTCTTTTGATAATCTTGAAAGGAAAACGATGGGTGAGTTTCATTGGATTTTGAGTTATGGATGATTGGTAGTAAGTTCCGTCATTGGTGGGTGGGGCTCGTCGAAATTTGAATTAGGAATTTGGAGGTATATAGGGTCTTATGATTTCAGTGTTTTGTGAAAAATAAGAAAATATAGGGATTTTTTTATAATAATAATAATAATTTTTCTACTTTAAAAAAATTCAAAAAGAATGAGGGTGACACATGTCACCTAACGACAGAATTTAACGGTTGTTACGACATAAACATCTAAAAGTGTAACAGAGAAAACGTTAAGACATTTATTTTAAACGAAAAATTCTTTAAGCATCTATTATTAACAAGGGGTGTAGTTTGGGTACTTGTATATCTATTAAACCATATTTCTTTTTCAATTAAGTTTGATCTTATTTAGTAAAAGAAATAATATATATATAATATATATTTATTTATTTATTTAATTGTGTTAGGTTGGATTGGATCGGGTGTAGAATTTTACCTTAAAATTAGATTATACTTTTTTCTAAATTTAAGGTGAAATGACGAAGGAAAAGGTGTTAAAATTTAATTAGATTGAAGTGCGCCAAAAAATTGAGCCATGTCCATCCATAGATACACCTTACCTTATACAGTTGGTTAATTATAGGCACTAAACTATTGTGTTTGGAGTTTGGAGCCGTGTAACGACTGTATGGACTAATGTATAGGATAATTGGAGCATTTTTGGTCTATAGGAGATTAAAAACTTTATAAGCCTGTAACATATTTGGGCAAAAACCAACCCTAACCCATTCGCTGTTTCACATATTGGGCTGACTTTGTTATTTTTGTTAATATTAAAATCATGATAATTTGAAGAGTGATCATGTAAAAGCCTTTTTTTCATTTGGGAAAAAGAAAGACAAATAGAAAATATAATTATGATTGCAAACATGTGTGTGTGCAGAAATTGGTCTGGCGTTTGGGTATAGACTATAAAGATCACATGGTGTCAACTCTGGGCATCTGCTTCCTTATATCCTATCCTTTGACTCTTAGTCCCTACCCTTCTTCTTTATGTTATATGTATTTTAGAACCAAAATGATACCTGTTTTATTAAATTCATGTCCCTACTGGTTTTTCCATAATCATCAGATAACACTATAATGTTATTTTATGTATTGAATTGCCCATTTGCAATTCTTTTCTACTTTTGAAAAGTGCAGACTGCAGAGGGTATTAAGGATAGGACTTTGGTATAAAGGATGCTTTATTGTTGTACATGAATGATGTTGGACCCCCAGCTCTCCCACGTAATTAGTCCCACACTTTCATTACTCGTGTTCAACTTTGTTGCTAAAATTGCTGGGAAAATTTAGAGATGAAATCCAATTTGGTGTAGTCTTTGCTTGTCAGGCTGCAATTTTTTTGTTGTTCAAAATCTCAAAAGTTCTGAAATGAATGGCCTAAATGTCATATCAATATCATTTTCTTTTGCTTTTTCCTAGCTGCATCAATCTCAGATGTCTCCCACACTTCAACTGTATGCAATTTGCATCGAAACAGTTGTATTTTTATTGATTAATCAAAAGCTGCATGCACTGATTTCTGTGGCTTTGACTGTTTTGGAATCAAGCAATCCATGTTTTGAGACCTGAAAAATTCAACTCTTTTGCTATTAGTCATGTACATGATAGTCATCCTAGGTGGACCTAGCTAGTCCTTTGAGTTCTCATGCCTATGAATCAACCCTACAACTCCAATCAATTTGATGCTCTTAAGTTCGTACAATTCATGGGAAAGTGCAATCCTTTTTATAAGTTCCATTCGGCGGTAGGATAATATACCAACAGTGTTAAATCAAGGATCGAATCAAAATAGTAAAACTCAAATTGACCTTTATGTTTATTATTAAAGCTTTTGGTGAATTAAACAGTTGTGTCCCCACTAGTGCCTTTCCAACAACTCCAATGCTTTTTCTCCTGAATTTTGGATCATCAGGTCTCTCGACTTTATTCGCTCTCTTTCTTACCATTGTTTTTGTTTTCCTTTCATTATTTTGTACAATTTTCTTCTTAGTCTAACTATTTCGATGAGATAACGTTGAATTGACCTTTATGTTTATTATTAAAGCTTTTGGTGAATTAAACAGTTGTGTCCCCACTAGTGCCTTTCCAACAACTCCAATGCTTTTTCTCCTGAATTTTGGATCATCAGGTCTCTCGACTTTATTCGCTCTCTTTCTTACCATTGTTTTTGTTTCCTTCTCATTATTTTGTACAATCCTTTTCTTCTTAGTCTAACTATTTCGATGAGATAACGTTGCCCCCTACAACCTAGGCATTTTCCAACATTAAAAAAACAGATGAAGTAAATGCAATCAGTATCTGCCCATTGAAATGCCGGAAGCAATATGACTAGTTGAATCATCACCTGGTTTTCTTTATCCTGACATTATGAATTGCAGTCAATCCTCTAACATTTATTAATTTATCATATCAATGTATATATATTTATTTTATTTGAACAATAGATAAGTATGATGTACTTAATTGGGAAGGTGTCTGAAAACACAATAAATGAAGGCATGTGGTGTGAGAATGGCACCTTACAAAAAAAGAATGAAAATTTGGGGATTGTTCATAAATGAAGTTGACGAGTGGTCCAAAAATTCTAACTCACAAATGAAAGTTCTTCACCTACATAAATTGTGAACTCTGGCCTTTTTCTACCCTACTTTCAACTTTTATAAAAAGACATAGGACTTCTGTTTTGGTCATGTGCTTTGTTTCTCGAGTATGTTAGATTCTGATAAAGTGGTAAAGTGATCATAAAATTTTAATCTTTATGCTTCTTTCTAACATTCGAGTGAATTTCAAGGTTTTATCGTTTATTATTTTCAAAATGGTTAAAAATTAGAAGTTGCAGAGCTAAGACCGAGTGTAAAGAAGATCAATGTAAGAAAATAAAAACATTATTTAAAAAAATGAAATATCAAAGTGAAGTCCCACTCAAAAGAAATATCAAAGTGAAGTCCCACTCAAAAGAAATATGAAACACGTTCTGTTCTCTTTTTTCTCCCACCTTAGTACAGTAATTTACCTCATCTCCTTGCCCTTCATTCTTATTATTTTTTTTTCAAATTGGATGTAGCAATGGTCTTATGAATAAAACTAATCATTAGTCATTACAGTTGCTAATGGTGATAAGCTCTATTATACAGCAAAAAGTAAACAATTGAGTTGGGAAATGCAAGACTTCATTTTTATTCATGACTTCAGGGTGTTAAACCTTGGAGGTAGTGATATGGTATTGGGAGTTGACTGGATGAAAAAATACAGTCCAATTTTGATGGATTTTAACAGTATGACTCTCAGCTTTAAGATGAGTGATCAAGACATTATGTTTAAAGGAGGGTTAAACAATGTTGCAATGAAGATAATTTCAAGCAATAAGATGCAGAAGTTGATGAATAGAAATCCTGATTTGGTAGGGGAAATGTATATGCTAAATGCTGAAGTTGGTGGCAATGTAATTCCTCCTACAATACAAGCTGTAATAGCTGAATATAAGGATGTGTTTGAAGAACCTACTGGAATGCCTCCAATAAGGAAGCATGATCATTCTATTACCCTTAAGTCAGGTACTGAAACAGTCAATGTAAGACCATACAGGATGCCTTATCATCAGAAAATAGAAGTTGAGAAACAAGTGGCTGAGATGTTAGCTGGCCTCAATTATTCAAACTAGCAAAAACCCTTTTGCTTCTCCTTGTTTATTGGTAAAAAAGAAAATGGAAGTTGGAGGATGTGCATTGATTATAGACAGTTAAATGCCCTAACTGTTAAAAATAAGTTTCCTATTCATGTGGTGGATGATCTCTTGGATGAACTAGCTGGAGCTAATTTTTTTAAAGGGAGAGATGGTTATTGGCAGATTCGAATTAAACCTGAAGATATTCCTAAAACAGCATTCAGGACACATCATGGCCATTTTGAATTCAAGGTAATGCCCTTTGGTTTAACTAATGCACAAGCTACTTTCAATCTCTTATGAATGATTTATTTGGACCATACCTTAGGAAATTTGTTTTAGTTTTTTTGATGATATCTTAATCTACAGTCCTGATTTGCATAGTCATGCACAACAATTAAGAATTGTTTTGGAGATTTTAAGGAAAAACCAGCTTTTTGCTAAGATAACTAAATGTTTTT